CTTATTCGGTCACCACCGAATTTGGGAGTGGGGTTCTTTTTCTTTTTTCGTCAAATTGTAACTCATCTCCTATTTTAATCCAACAACAAACAAATCCTGCCCCTTCAATTTTTAAGGTTAAGTGTTGGCAATCGGATGTGGTGTTATACATGCTAACACCATCCCATCTGCCACATCGATTCTCTATGGCGCGATAAGGCCCGTTGGTTGTGGTGACAGAACTTTATGACATTTTTAGTAGTATGTGGCATCATTCAATTGATTTAAGGACTTATTCACTAGTGAGGTGGCTTGTTTTATTTAAATTACGATTACACCAATGTAAATTAATACATTTTTCATCTATGCTCCTTTTAAAACTATACCCTTTTCTCTCTTGACTAGATTTGTATTTCAAATATGTCTCTTTTTCTTAATTAACAAAATTCATGGTTTATACTTTATGAAAAAAGATAAGAGCAATTTATTAGTATAAGATAAAATGAATCACTTATTTTATTGAACTCATACTGGGTCCTTATATTAGGTCAAGTCGTAATTAACTAAAAACACACTTGAACTAAAAACAAATTTATTTTGTTAAACTTACATGCGATTGCGACGAGTTCAAAATTCACCTTCCAAACTCAACTAATTGTCCTTTCTAATTTGGACTTGAATGTTAAAACATCGAAGCTATATGCTGAGATAATAAAATAGATTGGGCTTATCTTAAAATTTAAAGAAGGAAATGGGCTTTTAAAGTGAAATATAAATAACCTCATATTTAGTGAGCTCAAATTGATTAACCTACAATTTTGTCTTTTTCATAATTAATCATTATTCTTTTCATTTTGTCCCATATGTGTAATTTGCATCCAATGTATAAAGTAAGAAAATTATGAGCATAATTTAGAATATAGCATTACGGATACAGGAACATAAAATAAAGATAGAATATATGATTTTCTATGTCATATGACCCTTTTATCATTTATATTCTTTAGATATAATAGCAAATATAAATATATTAATATCAATTACTTATTAAATAATTTTTACATATTTAAAGTCATTACTTTAAAAAACTCATTTTTCCAATTGAAATTCTCAAATTTACATTACCTTCTTTATCCGAACACAACTTTAAATACAACCAAAAAAAGGTATAAATTAGAATATGGGATGTTACATAAACATCTTTAAGTAAATAATTATGTACAAAATTTTAGTCATGCTTGAATATTCCAAACTTGATAAGCAAAACAATGAGAAAATAATTTAAAAAGCAATTAAAATATTAAAAAAGTTGTAAATGATGGTTATATAATATGATTGTTCATCATTAACTTATGTATTATTGGTTGCCTCTAAAAAAAACAATGTATTATCTTACTCAAGTAATAATGTTAAATGATTTATTAATATTATTGTATTTTTTTTTTTGTGTGTTAATGAAGATTAGCTTTTATGGTATGATATGTTACAAGTAGTGAAGATGTCTTTTTTTTTTGTTTAATTTGCATTTACAAATATTATAGTAATTATATAAATGGCAAAGTATTAATTCTTTAAAAATATTTATGGTTTAATAGAAATTCGGTATAATAGGAGTGTTTGGGTAAATTTATACATTGATTAAATGAGTTTATAAATTTTTTAATGATATTTTATTTTATTTTTGTTAATCTTAATAATTACATAAAAATTTATAACTCAGTACCATTTAAAGCTATTATGATAATCCACCTTCAAATCATATTTTAAAATTCTATCATATTTTTAATTTTGAGATTTGAAAGTAAACTTATAATATTTTTTTTTATCAAAATTTGTTTATAACAAATGAACAAGTGAATTAACTTTCAAATAAAACATGTTATAACAAATTCTAATATTATTTCGATATAAAACGAACTCATGTTTCAAAACAATCGAATTCGCTTTTGAGAGGAAAAAAAAACACATAAAATTAATTTTATTCAATATTAAGCAGTTTTTTTTGTTAAATAACACTTTAAATATGATTAAATAATATAAATATTTTTATTATGACAATAATAAAAATATGTAATTTTTAAACATAAAAATATGTAATAATTATTATTTATTTACCACATGAATTTTATATAGTTATTTCTAAACATAAAAAATCAGTATTATTTTCAACATATTAATATTTAACAAAACATAAATATAATCAATATAATCAGTTTGACTCATCTAGTTATATATTAAATATTTACTATACAGTATAGATACGTTTTTTTTTTTAATTATATATATAATCATATATTAAAAATATGTATGAAATTTTTTATTTTATTGTTTTTAATCAATTTTAATCACTATATTTATATTACTGTGTTTGGTTTAAATTCTTAAAAGTAAAGTAAATTAAGATTATAAGAATTACACATCATATTACTAATTATTTTCGGTTCTTAATTTTTTGTATATCAACTTACTTACTTATCATATAGATATTTTTATTAATTTTGATAATATATATAATATGTAGTTATAAAAATATTCATAATAAATTTAAATAATATCTGTATATCTAATGACATTTCTTAAATAAAAATTTTATATACATTAATAAGTTAAAATACATTTTTATTTTTAAGTACATTTCTTTCAATAATAACACTCTCTAATATTAAATCTTGCATGTTACACAAATGAAAAATTAGTATTAATGATTGTTTTTGACTTTTTCTCTTTTAGCATGTATGAAAGGTTCTTGAACCTTAATCCCCATTTGCTTATTTTTACTCGTACGAAAAGGAGATATACTTAACTTATTTCTCCTATTTTTTAATTAATTTATTTTTTATTCATTATTCATACTCGATTTATATTTTTTTGTCAAAAAATTTATCTACTTTTCATCATTATATTTATCCTAATTTACTATATTTACTTATTTATTAAACAATTTTACTTAAAATAAATTAGTAGTTAGATGCTTGCTATAATTATTAGTTCTCGAGCTAAATTAAACATATAAAATTATTTTATTTTAGAAAATCAAAAAAACATTTGATTTTTTAAAATTATATATAATATTAAAGTTACGAATATCGTAATTCTAAAAATTAAATAAAAGAATAAAAAAGAATAAAATTAAAAATTTAAATTGATAAAAATATATTTATTAATTTTAGTTAAATTAATTTTTCGTATATAGTAATTAATTAATTTTTATTTGAATTAAAATCAGTTTATAAATTAAATATCATAAATTTTTTAATTTTGTTCTGAACCTAGACACCAAAAGAAAAGGCATATGAAAAAATTGAAATTTGACCGTTGTTGGTCAGAACGCGAAAGGACCAAAAAGCTCACAAGTTTAATCATGACAATAATAACAAAACCAATTCCAAAGTTGAACCGGATCGTTCTATGAACCGGTTTCCCCGGTTTTTTCAAAATTAGCTTATTTGCCCGCCAGTGATCGTAACCCCTGTAAAACCCTATTATACTAACTAAAGCGTAACGCTATTGGAGTTCGCTCTCTTTTCTCGTTTCAATCTTCTCATTCCCTCCTCCTTGCTAATTGAATTTTCGCTCCTCAATTCTTTCTTTTTCGAAACTCCACTCATTCCATGAAAGTGCAAGAAAACCAAGAATCAACCTAAGTCTGATCTCATTTCCAGTGCGATCCTAGGGTTTTTTTAAACCAAAATTGAACCTTCAGTTCTATATTATAGGCTCCTCTCCTCGAGAAGATGTCGAGGGAAGAGGAGATTGTGATGCGTGATGTCGCCAATGCAGGGTTAGTTGTTAGCGACCGCCTTGGTCGTGAAGTTGCCGCGCAGCTCGACCTTGAAGAAGCTCTAGAAGCTTCCAGATATGCAAGTCACCCTTATTCCACTCACCCTAGGGAGGTAAGCTTTTAGGAAATTCTTGGAAGTCTTGATCTTTTTTTATGTCGGTGTCCGTTTTCTTCATTCATTATATAACTAAACGGTGGTATGGGAAGATTAGTTTGGAGGAAGTGAAAGTGAAACGGGCTAGAGAGCGAATAATTTCAGTCCCGAGAAGTGAAGAATTAGATTTGAAAAATTACAAATATATGATGTTCAATAAGTTACGAAAGGGGAGATATTATCATATTGTCTGAGAATGTGCATTTTTGGATTAGTAAAAGGTTTCCAACAGAGATTATCTCGATTGTGTATGAGCTATTCTTTGTGTTAAATTTTTATTTGTGATGAAATTGTTTTCTTCATCTTGTATATACAGATCTTTCAATCTGTGATGTATAACTGTCTCGTCATATAACGTATACCATTTTTGAATTTACATCATATAACATTTGATAGCTGCCCTTTCATATTGTAACCATCACATACCTGATTGTGTTTCAGTGGCCTCCTCTGGTTGAGGTAGTGGATACTCGGGAATTACCTTCTGTACTTGTTGAGAGATATAATGCAGCAGGAGGGGAGGGGACTGCTTTATGTGGAATATTTCCAGAGATATGTAGGGCATGGGCTTCAGTAGATAATTCATTGTTCATTTGGCGCTTTGATAAGTGGTAAGATTTGGTGATTTTGGGTTAGGATGCTATAACTTGCTAGTTCTTGGAGACAGATTTTATAAGCTGTTCCATGGTTCGTGATTGGTGTGCTGGACAGGACATATAACTATAAGGATCAGAGAATGTGTTACCAGCAGTGCTAACTTGGAAAGGTTAAAGATTACACATATGTCCTGCAAGCATTGTTGTGTAATTGTAGTAACTTTGACTTATGAGTTTAACTTTGGATATTATCTTTGGTGCATTAAAAGATAAAGCGTGTAGCAGCTAGACGGTTTAAATACTTGATTGGACAAATTCTCTCAAAATTTTGACTTAATAATGAGGAACCCAATCAACTAGTTATGCTAACACATTGACTCACAAGTAAACCCAACTGGCTGAAAGCATGTACAAGCATAAATTCATAAGACTTTGTGTGAAATTAATATTTAATGAACGGGGCAGCTAGAACTTGGAGACTAATTGACTTGAAGATCATGTTAAATAATAATTGGAACTAATGCTGTTAAAAGTTTAAGCTGATAGGAAACAAGCAACACTTATTTATACAACAATATTAAATATAGTTTAAGTGAAACATTGACTGAGTCAAGCTCAATTAATTTTTGTGAACAATTTTTTTAGCCAGCCTTAGGCGAGGGTGGTTTTGCTTGTTTTGTTGGGACACCTGTGTTTACATTTAATTTTGGAAATTAGCATTATGATTGGGGAGTATTGATTAAGATACACTAGTTGGCTGCACTAATGGAACACATGAATTGCATGGTTGTATTTACTTGATATATATGAACCTCAATAAAGATCTCTGATGAGTTGATTCCTCAGTCCCTAGAAAAGTACAAGTAGATAACTTATATGGTATTCCACTCCTTGATAAACAACTGTTTGTAATATATTAAAGAAGTATGCTTTTAAAAATTTCCTAAATTTTCATCCTGCAGCATCTGGCATACTTTTTTTTTCCTTATTCTTACTTTTCTTTCTTGACTAGGGATGGGCAGTGCCCTGAATACAGTGGGGAAGAGCAAGCTATTTGTGCTGTCGGACTTGCCAAATCTAAACCTGGCATTTTTGTTGAAGCTATTCAATATCTTCTAGTATTGGCAACTCCTGTTGAGGTAGCAATTGTCATCTCAACCCTTGTTATCTTCTTCGGAGCTATCTTTTGGTCATTCTTTTGCTTTAAAGTGCCATTGTATGCTTGTAACAACTACCTTGTTCTAATGATGATACCTAGTGGGTTTTAGGTCATGTGGAAGAGTTCTTGGAAGTTATTTCTTATTATCATTTCTTTCTCTTGGAATTTACAAAATTTTATTTCCTCTCTAAATATTTGTTCGGTTAACATTGTTTGTAGTTATCTTTTGCTTCACTCCTTGTTATGGCTTGTCGTTAAAAAGCGGATGGAACGTAATTTTAAGATTAGTAGTGATTAATAACTGAAATGGGTTTATCCGAAAT